TGAAACACACACACACACACACACATATATATATATATATATATATATATATATATATATATATATATATATATATATATATATATATATATATATATATCAAGGCGAGATCCGATTAAATCGAGGACAACACGAGATCCACCAATAGGAAATTAATTAATGGAGTATATTGTTCATAACTATCTTTATAATTAACATATTAATCATGACACGCTTAGAGGGGAAAAGATTTTTGAACTTAAATTTTTTTGATACATTTACAACAAAATGAGATCCGTAGCTAAAAAGGGAAGGGGAAGACTTATATACGAAATTTTAGATATTTACAGATCAACGCGAGATCAGACACTCTTGCCAGCTCTAAAGAGTATTAGTCGAGCGACCGGAGCTCGTGTTGTATTGCATATTTCCTACTCAAACAGTAAAGTAATTTGCGGTTATGGTGTTTTGTATTTTAAAAATATTGCAAGGGCAGCGGTCAGTTGAAGTAGTGAAACAAACTTTAAAAATAACAGAAGCTAAGTAATGATTATAATTTTTATGTATATTATTAAATAATTCAACATAAACTTTATAAACCGAATTACTAAAATGCTCTGTTTTAGTGAATTTGCGAAATCTATTCTCAAAGCTATTTTTGTTTATTATTTATGTACAAAATTAAAAAGGGGAAATTATTTAAACTAAACAGTTTATCTGTATAACAAAAGCTATCATTTTAACATTCTAATCGTGTTTTAACATAAAAATATTAGTTTTGTACAAGAGTAAATACAATTCCATACTGCAGAGTAAATAAGACTGGGAAAAGGTTTCTAGAATAGATTTTGGTGGGCACTTTGTTGCTAAAATGCAAAACCTATTTTTATTCGTTTCTAATATCATTCTAATGCAAAATCACTTGGTCGTCCAAAAATCGTAGCGCGAGGGGAGTGGTGGGAAGCCTTACAAAAAAAGTGCTAATTTGTTTTTCGTCATTTTTTGGATCTACGATATCCGAAAATACATTCTTCAAATTTGCATATCGATCCGGACATTAGACATATTTTTATTTTATTTACAAAAATACGTCAAACCATTGTTGTATACGGAGTGCCTTCATACAAAATGACTTAGAA